AAAACCCAGCCAAGTTCTCTTCTTGCTTCGTCCAGTTCCTCTTGAGTTCTTTGAGTGGTAAATAAGAAGATACTCAGCGCTTCCATGGTTTGCATTAAATCCCGCATTGTCTTCACGTTCTTTAGAACACTTGGGATATATAAACCAGGCACTAGAAATAAATGAATAAAAGAATGAGATGATGGATGAAGAGAAGGAGTCAAGTTGATTGCAAGGAAGAGGAATACATGAAAGGAGGCAATGAACATCCTCCACATACATACTTGGCTGGTTTGTTGAATGGCTGCCACTCGCTGCCTCAGTATCCAATGGAATCGCAGGACGAGCCTCGTTGTGTTGTTCCTCTTCTGTTTCCTTTTGGGCTTCTCCTCCGTCTTTGGTTCTTTCATCTTTTTCTTCTTTCCCTTCGTTCGTTTCTTCTTCTTTCCCAACAACATCATCTTCTTCTTTGAGGACAAGGTTTTCAGGTGCAGCCTCGGGTGTAGTCTCCGTTGATTCGTTCCTCTCAACTTGAGGAGACTTGAGACATTTAGTATCGTTTCCTTCGGTGATTTGAGTCTCGTTGTCTTGTTCCTCTTCTGTTTCCTTTTGGGTTCCTCCTCCGTCTATGGTTCTTTCATCTTTTTCTTCTTCTCCTTCGTTCTTTTTTTCTTCTTTACTTTCTTCTTCCTTTATTTCTTCTTCTTTACCATCAACATCATCATCTGCTTTGCGTACCAGGTTTTCAGATGCGGTCTCAGGTGTGGTTTCGTTTCTCTCTACTTGACAAGACATCTGACGTTCAGTTTCATCGCTCTTTTCGGTGATTTGAGTCTCACCATTCTCCTCTTGGGCAATTTCTTCGAAATCCTTCAATCTTGTGCAGTTAACGCGAGTCATGTGGTCCGATGAGATCACGCAGCTTGCCGATTTAGGGTCAACAATAGACATTTTCCGGGCTTTGTTGAGAACCCGCTTTTCTCTCTCTGCAGACGAAACATCAAATTCTCCAAACTTTCCATCAACATCAATTTTTTCGTCGTTGTTCATAGTGAATAGCTTGTAGGTTACATAGCCTACGGTTGCTAAGCCGCCAATGATGGCTCCTCCAATCAGAACCGTCTTCAAATTGAAATTTTCAAACATTTTGAAACTATTGTTTTAGCGCACGGTGAATACGAGTCAAATTTTACGTAACAACGCAATTGTGACGTCACTTGATAATTAGATAATAAGGTTAATTAGACTCAGAGCAATCTCGTACCCAGAGCCCGCACTTTTTGCAATCCAGGCTTATGGCCAGAGCGCGTAGCGCGAGTGTCTGGGTACGACAGTGAAGGAGCTGGGATTTGCGCCTGAAATCAGTTGGACAGCAGTTAAGTTTAATCCATATTTGGTTGACGATGATTAATACAGTTTTACAAACTTTCGTGTACGCTTTCTTACTCTCTTTGCAGAAGAAACATCAAATTCTCTTAACTTCAGATCAAACATTATTTTTGTCGTTGTTCAATACTTTGTAGCTTACATAACGCTTGGTAACTATGAAGATTTCAAATCTCTGTGAAGTAAAACGTGTTCATTTTCTATACTCCTTTTCGGTCTTGTTGTGAGGATGGGCGGCGATGAGACGCGTAATGAGAGTTTTACTGTTGCGCTCAAAGAAACAAAGATTCGGGTAGGCAAAAATTACGTAAGAAGGTAAGGATATTACATTTTTTCCCTTCTGAACTTTTAATTGTTCCTCTATATTCCCCAGCTCCCCTAATTAATGAACTTTAAACACGAATGAACTACTATATTAATGTTTCAGTGACTTTAATCACAAAATCGAATTAACACGGTAAATGACACTTTGACTTGGATTCTAAAACAAAGATATCAACCATTTACAAGATCTTTAAAAAATTCTGGTCAACCATTAGAGGTTGCTTTCATATTTCCTTCAATAATACAATACACAAGCACTTCCCATCAGTGCCCTTATGGTTATGTGTGTGGAGAGGGTCGATAGGCTATTTTACGACTCTTCAGGACGGTCCACTTATGACGTTTGTAGTAGTATGATGCGGCCAAGATAAGAGATAAAATAACCAAAGCCTGATGAAATAAAACCATGCTGTTAATATTAAATCGTTTTCAACCATTTCCATGAGATTTAAAAGATAAAAGACCGACGGCCATGTTGGAGGAATGAACAATAGATACTAATGAGAAAGTTGAAGCTCCTCCAAGATGGCTGCTGTGACGTAACTCGAAAACGAAGAATACATAAATTTTTTTATTAAACAAGATCGTATTTAGTGTTCATTTTAATGTACCTTCATTCCCATGCGCTTGCGATCATCATGATCGGGTTCTAGAAAAATAAGGTTAAACAATCAAAAAATAAAAAAAACGACGCCCATGTTGGATGAATRAACAATAGATATTAATGAGAAATCCTTTGTTAAAGTTCATCCAAGATGGCCACTGTGAGTGACGTATAATATTAAAAATGAAGAATTGAAAAAAGCTTGTTATACAAACAGAACATTTGCATTTTAGTGAAAGATTAAATTAGTAAAGAGAGAAATAAGCTTGCGGCTGATCGTCTTTTGTCTTTATAATGAAGTCGTTTTTATGAAAGTTCTTTTATTTATTTATTTTTGGCAACATTTTTGCAATTTTGTGTACACCAAATGAATGAATAAGCAAATGAATAATTGCAAAAAGGTCTTCAAAGTAAAAAAAAAACGTTTACAATAATGAAATTTTTTTCTGAAATAAGAAAGATTGTTACCTGCTGACCACTTGAGGAAGGTGCTGACATCTTTAGCTAGCTGACTGACAGAYGCAGGAGTTCCTAAAACAATAAACATTGATATATATTAGCCTCCTCCCCAGGTAACTCTTTTCTCCTCCTTTGGGGTTCCTTTGTAATGGAAGTTGGCTGTTAGGGACTTTTCTCGGCCTGATTCTCCCTCTTTTGACTCCCAAAAAAGACAGGAWGCCCGTGATTCTTTGTGATGCCTGCGGAGGAGGCTAGATGTATATCATCAACAATGATGTGAAGACCATTTAGGCCAAGGTGTTTGTAGCCTTGTACAACATCTCCAGTGTATCTATTGAAGTACAAATGCACTGGCCCTGAGTAATGAGAAGCCATATAGAGACTCAAGTGCATCCAAGAGACTGTGCACGTTTTTCTCACAAACAAAATTCACCATCTTTGATTTTGAAGCAATCAGAAAGCAACTTTCAATTGTAGGACTGATCATTCATAAATGTTTTCGATTGGAATAATTTCAATCAATCACTAAATAATTWCAATTCAATAAATAATCACTAATCRATATTGAAATTCCAACSATACATACCGTCTTCATACTCTATGATATCATTGTACAAGGCTTGTGCCATTGCTATAGCTTGACCAGGGAAATAAGCATTGAAATAAAGATCCTCCCTCAGTTCCACACCAGCTGGTGGATCACAGTAGCCAGTCAATATAGAGAAGATGTAGTCCTATAAATAAACAGTAC